GCAAAGTCATTAAACCTGCCATGTGGGAATAGGGGTGTCCTACCTTGTGGCAACACACAGGGCTTATTATATAAAACGCACATGATTAATATACAAGTGAAATGAGTCCAGATGCAAGCCTAGCATCGGGTTATTAATAGGCTAACACAGATCTCTATCAATGGTGCTCTCTGTTCGCTAGATCGCACTGGATGCTGCATTTTGGGTGGTTTCTTTTTTTAAAAAGCGTTCCTTTGTCTTTTGAGAGAGATACACAGGGCTTTTCTGCAGGTACTGAGTATGTTTTGCTCCCACTGCACAGTGTGCTGTCCTTCTGGTCAACAACCCGGGGCTGTTTTGTAAAGTGCTGAGCAAGTCAGCAGTGAAACACCGTGAGCAGCTGTGAGGACATTTGGGGCCAGCGGTGCCACACCAGTGACCACAGGTGGCACAAGGAGCTCTCTTGGCCGGTGACTGAGAGCAGAGCAGCCCTGCAAGGCCAGATTCATCATAGCAAGCGGTGTTTTGAGGGCCACTGTCAGCTTAATGGATGTCGCAGCAGCCACAGTGTCAATAAAGGTTACGGCCTTTGCTGAAGAAAGAGAGCCAAACACCATTTAAGTAATTGCGTGGTGGTGGTGGTGGGGAGCAGCAATGATGTATCTGTCTGCTTGGTGTGTGCATCCTCCTCTGAAGAGCTGGACAGTGCATCCAGAGATGATGCTCTGAAAAGTCAGAGAGGTAAAAAAGTTGGAGCCAGATGTTTTGCTGGAGTAGACCTGTTGAGAAGGGGGGCCTGCAGCGTGGCTGGAGTCAAGATCTGCAACTCTTTGTAGCTCCGTGGGAGATACTGGAGGGCTCTTTTCCTCAGTCACCTTGGCCCACCTTTCCAAAGGTGTTGCTGGATTCAATTGCCCAGCTTTGAGGCTGGTCTGGTTTTGCAGCAGTGTGGGGCACTGACAGTCACACGGTGTGGTGTGGCGTGGTCTCAGGTCCACACAAAGTGTCTGAAGTGGACCAAGGTATGAGCTGGTTTTGAAAATGCAGAGGCTGGCAAGTCCAGGCTGACATCTTTTAGACTAATTGGTTTGCCGGTCTAGTCCTCTAATGTAACGTTTTATTAGGTCCAACAGATTTCTGTTCCAGATTCCCTGGGGAGCCCTCCAAAGTAACTGTTCAATGAATAGCTTTTCCCTGCAGCTCAGTGAGAGGTGCTGGCAATAAAGAGATTTTGGCAAACCGGCCTGACAAAGACTTGGAAAGGCTCTGAGTCCGACCTTACAGATTATCTCACGCGTCCTCCACTCATCTGGCCAATACTGAAAGCAAATCACAGGCAAGTGGTTAGGTCTTCTAGTGGCCAGGGATACCCACTCTAGGTCTTCATTTCAGCTCCACCTCTGTTGTGAAGGTGCTTCTTCCTGTGGTTCCTGTTCTTGATGCATTGAGGTCCTTCTCTGTAGAAGCCCTCAGAGATGTGTGCTCTTCTGGAGACCACATGCAGGGGTTTGGAGGCCCTGGCATGGCAGGCAGGCAGGCAGTGGGCTCTTGTAGTGATGTCTTCCTCCAAGCCCACTCTTGGTTATGAAGATGTCTGGACTCTCTAATACAGATTCTCATGCCTTGTGCTTTTAATATCATGTATGAGTTGCTATCTGCCGACTAAGATTAATTGAATATGTAAAACAATAGGTGCTAAGAATTAATACAAGGCTTTGTAATACAAGATGACTTTTATTCTAGTTTGAATACTTCACACAGCAGCTATAAGTACATTAGTTTTATTGATCTATATTCATAGAATTATTTAAATGTACCCTCTGGTGCTGAGTGTCAGGGATTTTCCAATGCTTGCCACTATGCATTTTTCATTAGAGGCTAGTGAAGGCAGATCCAAACTTTGACTGCCCAGGCAAGATTAATTTCAGCTTGACAGCCACAGGCAAACACAAGCAGAGTGTGTTTTGAGAGCTGACCACTAACCATGGTCTCACACCACGTACCCCGGAGCGGTTTCCTGGGCTCCCTGCTTCGGGCTCTCCTGCATCGTCAGTGTTCCCGTGCTGCCAGGGTGTGCTGGCTACCAAACAACCTGGCTCTACCAAGGCTTTTCTGCTGCATTTTGTTTTAAAGAATGAAAATGGATCTGTTCCTATATATAGCTGAAACTCTTATATTAAAAACCTGTCTGTACTGTGCATACTAAACCTGGCCTGATCTTTCAAGGTCAGATGTTTGGCAGGTGCCAACTGTCTGTAGCTGGTACAACGTTTCTTCCATCCAAATGTAACTGGATTGTCTGTTATTTCATCAGATTTTTTTCCACTTTTGTCTAAAAACGCTTAATTCACTTTCTTGCCCTTCTCTATTGGGGGATTAAAAAAACAAAAGGAAAAAATACCAGCAACTTCATTTCTAGTGCAAAGCATTCTCAATTTTTTCTTTTAGTGGTGTTTGATTGTAGTCACTGGCCAAAGGAGACAGAACTTTTTTAGTTTACGGGGATCTTAGGATGAAAATAATTAAACTTTTCAGAGAAAAATGAAATGTGATGGGTTTTAGTGTTTAGAAGTGAGGCAAGTGGCTAGGCAAGAAAGGCTGCTTTCCCACAGCTTTGTCTTGAGATTGGGTGAGGGGTGGGAGCTCTCATAAACCCCTTTCCTGCACTGGGTTGCTTGTTAAAGTCATGGGAGTCTCTGGTGTCTACTGAGAGGCTGAGCTCATGCTGCAGCCTTTGCTCGAGGGAGGACACTAAGAAGGTGTCTCTCCTGTAGCTGACAGCCCAGTGAAACTAAAACTATCTGAGTTTTCTGTCGCTCCGCTAAATTGGGTTAAAATTAGCTGACAGGTTCCAAAGTGATTGGAACACACAAGCCTACAGTTTAATTGCATAAGCCACTTTCCTTGGAACCAAGCTGAAAAGCATCAGTATGTTTCACAGCGCTTATTATAACAATCATTTTGCATCTAGTTCAATGTTCACGGTACAGCCTGAACATGAACTTCAGGAATGCTGGAAGGGTACGTAGCTGATAGGCCTCTTTGGGAGGACACATGTGGATGTGTGCGTGCTGCAGCAGAAAAGCCTTTGGGATTTGGGAGCCCGGCCCTGCAGAGGTGCTCTTGTCAATCCTGCTGATGTGGCTGCGCCTGTTGATACCTAAAGCCTCTTCTGAATCCGGCTTTGGTCCCTCTGTTGCATCTTTGAGGGTGGAGGAAGAAGCTACCAGGGGATGCTACTGCCTCTCTACTGTGTTGTTGCAGGGGCCACCAATTCTCCATGGAAGGGTTATCTCTCCAGCTCTTGTTCTTTCAGCGTCAGGGTCCTCTCTGGACCTTACAGCAGGGAAGTGCTTCCTGGTTCCTTTGCTCCAGTTGAAGGTGGCTGTAACACTGTCCCTGGAGAATGCTGTGCCTCTGGGGGCGAGCAGGGGCATGGTTGCCCCTAGCCTGCAGTGCAAGCAGTCCTGGGGTACAGCTGCTTCCCACCCAAGTTCCATGCTCTACAGTAGGCTCAGAGCCACAGAGAGCTCTATATGGTGTAGGGAGATGCTTCCAGTGGCTCCCCCCACTGCTCTATGGGGACTCAGAGGAGGATCTGGGCTTTTAGTTTTAAAATTACTTATTTTTTCATAAATGGAGGAGGGGGGCTGGAAATCCCTGGCACCACCTTCGCTCCATCATTCAGCATCCTCCTCACAGCAGGGCTTGAGCTGGACTGAACATGGCTCTCATCTACTTGGCTTCTCCTGGTCCATGGCTCTACTTGTGCCTTGTGTGGGGCACAAGAGCTGACCCCAGATGTTGTGTCCCAGCACTCAGACCCTGCCGTGCGCTCGGGGAAGGCAGTTTTGGTGGCGGGTTCGTGAACTTTGCTATGTTTTATAGCCACTAGAGGGGGGTCAGAGACTGCTGGCTTGGGCTGCCTGCAGCCAGGATGCCCAGGCTGGGGGGCAGCCCAGGTCGGGGGCTTCAGGCTGAGCCCCATGGTGTGCAGCATGGTCTTTCCTTCCCCAGAGCATGTTTTCAGCACCTTTCCCAGCCGCAGTGAGAATTCCTTTGGGAAGGTCAGATGTGCTGCCTGCATCTACTCTGCTTCCCACCTATGCGAACGTAGACAAATGGACAGGGAGCACTGGGTTAGCAGGGAGTTGAGCTGAGGAGTCCTCCTAGCTTATGGTGGATTTATCAGCTCAGTTCCAGTAATGTTTTGTAACTTGGGAGCCAAGTGGTGTCACCCAAAGACAGCCATCTTGCTCGCACACAAGCCTGTAACCACCTGAGGCAGCTCTGTGTGGGACCTCATCAGATCTTCTGGCTCTTGGGTGGAAATCCCCCTGCTTCAGGCCGTGCTTTTTGCAGATCCAAGCAGAGAGTGTGCCCTTTTGTTCGTGCAAGGTGACTGCAAAGTAACAGTGGGGGAAGGACTCTGTGGGTCTGGTCCAGGGCACGTGGCATCGGCTGTTGGCAAAGGGGAGGCGCTGAGATTTGCCAAGGAACATCAGCCATTGGGATTGCTGGTGCTGGAGCAATTTCAGCTGGCCAGGTGCTAATCTGTTTATTGTCTCTGAAACCAGGCATTCGAGGTGCTGAATTTCCGTTGCTAGCAAATTTCAGAGCAGTCTTTTGTGCGACAGTCGGGGAAGGACTCTGTGGGTCCAGTCCAGGGCACGTGGCATCGGCTGTTGGCAAAGGGGAGGCGCTGAGATTTGCCAAGGAACATCAGCCATTGGGATTGCTGGTGCTGGAGCAATTTCAGCTGGCCAGGTGCTAATCTGTTTATTGTCTCTGAAACCAGGCATTCGAGGTGCTGAATTTCCGTTGCTAGCAAATTTCAGAGCAGTCTTTTGTGCCAAGATGAGGAGAGATTTTAAGAACATTTTATAGCTCGTTGTTTTCCCTCCTGGACCCCTGTATATGATTTTTGTAAAGGGGGAGAAGGTGCTGTGTTTTTCCATTTCTAGATGCTGCTCTCCAAACTCTGAGCTATGTGAGCCATAATACTTGCTAACTTCTCACAGGTACCTTGGCAAGACTCAGTAAACTTCTGAAGAGGGAGAAAAAGATGAACAAAGTCTACCATTGCCTTTATCTGAGCCTGGCACAGTATTGAGAGGGATTTTTTCTTCCCGGGAGCAAAACACCTCTGCTGCCATTGTACGGTGGATATTCCTGGTGATGCTGGAGCAGGATGCAAAAACAGGTATTTGATGGCATCAAACCAATCCTCTAAGGTCCCACACTTGCTGCTGAGAGCACCCAGCCCCTAACACATCATGGGAATAATCTGTTCTCTGTATCTCTGGGAAGTGATGGGGACTGGTTGTGTTAATGGATGGGAAGGATTTGGCCTCCCTTGACACAGCTCTGGGATCATTTTAAGTGCAAGGCTGTGGATTATAAATTATACAGCATTTGTAATCAGGAAAACATCTGCTGGGTGCTCTTTCCAGTGGACAGGGCCAGCCGAAGGCTCCAGGACACGATGCGTAGGGGTTGCACCAATCGCCACCTGTCTTCTCCTATAATCGAGTTGATTTTTTATGATCTTGACATCAGCTTTCAAGGCGCATGATCTATGTGTTTATTTAGCTGTCTTTCCTGGCGTCCCTTAGTTTTGAACTCCTGTAAATCCTCCCACAGTTGGATTTCTGCACTTTTCAGAGATTACGTTTCCTGACAGTACATTTCTCCTTCCCCCTCACATCGGTGACAGCTCAGGCGAGGCTCCAGGGACCAAAGCATTCAAACCCAGCTTTGGAAAGCTGAGCTCTTGTCACAGAGCAGGTCTAACTTTCCAGAGGCCAAGCAACTGGTACTCGTGTAAGTGGGAGGGGGCCCAAACATGTTGCTTTGTGGCTGAAGCCCCCCTTCAGGTCTGAAATCTGGTCCAGGGGCTGTGTCATCCTTCAGGACTTGGTGGCTGGACCAGGAGCTGGTCCTCTCCGTGAGGAGACCTGCTCAGGTTCTGTCTCCATACCAGGAAGGAAAGTGGAGTCGGCTTGGACAGAACAGCAATGTTTTGTTAAAAGGCCCAAATTCTGACTGCTGGGGAGTGAGATCTTTGTGGTTCTGTTTGTTCAGGTCCCAGTGGCCCTTTCTCACTGATGTTAACCCATGCAAGAGCTTCCTGGATATCCCAGCTCAAGTGATTCCCAGAAGGACACAGTTATAAATGCCCTTGGTTTTCAGAAAACCATGTCTTCTTTTGTCCTCTTCTTTTGGGGAAGTGCAGCTGGTGCTGAACTCCACCAGCTTCCAGAAGTGTACAGGTGGACAAATACTCTCTTACTACTAGGAAAGAATACACAGCAGCCTTTGCTTTTTGTGCTTTTTCCTACCAGCAAAGCAGGAATTGTTGCAAAGATCTATAGCCAAGAAACCTATCAAGTCTAGTGGGTGCTTTCTACAACCTTAGCCTCCAACTCCAGTGGGAAGACTTGATGTAGACTGATCTGGCTTTCCAGGTGGGGTTTGCAACCACCATTCCTTTCTCAGCTGGTCCTAGAACCCTTCACTTACTCCTTGTTCACTTTTGCTCCCTCTGGCCTTTTTCTTATCCCCTTCACAGGGCTTTTCAGCCTGGCTCTCACCCCTCTTTCTGCCCGCCCAGGTCCCTCCTTTCCCTGCTCCAATATAGAGAAGGAGGAGAGGAAACTGCCAGGATCCTAAACCATCCTGGCTCTTCCTGACGTGGTGTTTATGCCCCTTGATCCCTGCCTCTCTCCTCAAACTTCCCAGCCACCACTGACCCCTGAATTAATTTATTTGCAGTATGAGTCCCTCTAGGAGTTTCTTGCTTGACTGCATGTTGAAGCCATACCCATCTCTTAGAGAGGGCCCCTGACTCCAGCAGGTATCATGCCTGATATTTTTCCAAAGCCAACATGAACTTGTCCATAGTACAAGTTCATATTTTAGGCCCTCGCACTTGTGCTTAGCTCAACCCGATTCTGAGCACTCTGCTGCCTCTGACAGCACTCAGAGGTGTCCTGATAAACTGGGTGAAAAACATAAATGTATGTCAGGATGTCATTTTCCAGCTCTCTTACCAGAGCCCAGTGGTACCCACTGTTACACTTGGCCCGTGGTGGGGACGGTGCTGCCTCCTTCTCAGTGGTGCAATTTTAAGAGTCCAGGAGAGACAAAGCTCCTGGTAAGGGCTTAGGGTTCCATGGGGTTGGGATAGAGCCTTCTAGTTTTCATCAGCTAAGGATTTGGCTAGGAAGCTGAGCATGTAGGTAGGGGACAATTCACCTGTGTCCATACAACAGCCAGATACGTTAGCTGTCCATCACTGCAGTGCTTAGTGGAGGATGCTTTTGCTGCACCCTCATGCTGCGACCTGGGGCAATGGCTGAGAAACCCCTGGACACCACGAGGGAGGCAGAGAACATAGCATAGCCAATGTCTCAGTGCCAGCTTCTCCTCCCCAGCCTTCCCAATATGGTCCTGGATGAGCCAACCTCATCCAGTTCAGTAGAGGGGCCGAAAAGAATTGATGACTTACCATGGGATGATTTACCCCTCTGTGTAACGAGATGTAAAAGGATCTCTTTCACACTAGGCTGGAGGCTTGCCTTTATGGGCATCTCAAAGCCTTGGCCTTGAATGGAAACCCGTCTCCCGCTAGCAGAAGATTGGATACACCTCATCATCACTTGTGCATATTTTTGCCTGCCAGGCAATTGCAGGAAAACAGATGAAGAAAGATTGATCTGTAGGTCTTAATTTTATGGGCTTGTGTGGAATCCACCTCCCATCAATTTACCAACGAGGGTTAGAAGAGCCAATGTCCTTATCATTCCCCTCATCGTGGCTGGGAATAATCTGCCAAATGAGCTATCCCTTTATAAGGGTGTTATCATGTAGAAGAGTGAAGCAGATTTGCACCTCTGATGGCTCTGTGGTTATTTATATTGCGTTGGTGCCTAGCTGAAGCCTGGGTCTGGTTGTGTTGCTCTTCGGGAGAGAAGAGCAGCAAAACTGCTCCAGGTGGGGCAGGGAATGGAAACATCCTGGGAGCAAACAGGTTTCATGGTGGGGCAGCTGTGGGGTTAGAGCACAGGGGTCTTTGCCTCTGGGTGGCTGCCAACCCCTCCATACCAGGCTGCTTCTCCACAGTCATGTATAGTTGGAGTCGCCTTTGCCCTTGTAGGGATGCTTGAACAATGCAAAGGCTGTTCTTGTGGTCTGCCTGCTTTGCGTGTGTTAATTCCTTTTAAAAATGAGTTGGATGGAGCTCAATCCCCCAGTGAATTCCCCGTTGTCAGTCCCCGGGTTGCAGAGAGCTTTAGTGACCTATGTGTGTGGTTCAGGGCTGGTGAACCTTGCCTGGTCCAGCTCTCATGGTCAACCTTCGCCTTTCCATCCCACATACTGGGAACTATCCCTGCCACCAGGAGCTGGTGACATGGCTTCCTGGTGGTCTCACAGCCAGATTTTGCCCTGAAGGTCTCATGTTTGCAGCCAGTGCCCATATTAGAAATACAATAATACAATTCCTCTCTTCACTTTTTTTTTTTTTTTTTTTTAAATTTCTACATTGGCGGCCTTAGAACTAATTGATGTTAGTGCATCAGTAGCATTGTGTTGGCCTTCTATGGGAAGTGAGAGGTGGGAGGGGCTTAATTTGTTGTAGCTTTTTATAACTTGAAAGTAACATTGTTACAAACAATTCAATCCAAATGAATAGTTGAAATGGGCAAGATTCAAAGAGTAAATGTTTTAAATGTTCTAACTAATATGGGAAAAGCCTGATAGTTTGTGATTTAAACCTGTTATTTGTCAGTGACTTGCATGACTTCTCTAAATGCATTAGTTCTTGACTGAAACTGCGTGTTCTTGGTTCTTAAACAAATCCACAATATTGTTGAAGTATCACAGAAAACTAAGGCACAGACAAATGCAGCCCTTTGCCCAAGGTCACTTACCAGCTGCAGAGTCTGGAGTAAGAGAGCCCTGATTTCCTGGCTTTGTGTCATGAGTGTGAACGGCTCCTTGCTCTGATGACAGCGAGGGCTTTACAGTAAGGGGGGAGAAAAGGAAAAAAAAAAAAAAAGCGCCATATTTCAGCGTGCTTCTTGCTCTGTCCCCAAGTGCATCCCCCAGGGTGAGAGTGAAGTCAAGAGGCTGCTGTGAAAGGGTTATAGCCGACCTCTGATCACAACCGATTAATGACAGCCCCAGGGAGCGAGAGCCCTTGAGCTGGCAGGAAGGAGGTGAGTACGGAAAAGCAGAGAAGTTTTAAATGCAGCAGCCATGGAGCAACAGCAGGGGAAACAGCCACGCTCCAACCCACGGCAGCAGGGCAGAAACAGAGGGGATTTCTCCATCCATCCCCAGCAGTTTGGATCCAACCCTTCAATCATCAAAGTCCGCTCTGATTGGACTTGTTGCTCTGAATTGGCTGGTGATGGTTTGGGGCTTTTAAAATTTTGTTTGTTCGAATGAAGCAGAAAAAAAAAAATGCTGTGAGGGTGGGTTAGTATTTAACTCCAAGCAGATGATAACAACAGCATTGTGGCTGCTTCCCCGGGAGGGTGAGGAGCGCTGTTGTCCAACTAGGGAAACTGAGGCAGATCATCAGGATGGAAGGAGCAAGGCCAGGACCAGGAGGAGCCCCCTGCTTCTCCCCGCGCATCCCGCTTTGTGCTGGACTCAGCAGAAATCTTCCCTTAACGTAATTAAAGGATGAGCAGAGACGGCTGCGAGAGAGGAGGCGGCTGTTTACGAGAGCGGAGGAGGGCATGCCGGGAAGATGCTCCATTCCCCTGCTCGAACCACCACGGCACGGGGAGCACGACCCCCGGGCGAGGATGTGTGTGTGTGCGGCGCTCGGATGCTCTCCAGCTCCAGAGGAGAAGGGCTGAAAGCAAATTGGCTGTTAATGCAGACAGCGGCCAGCTTGACTCAACACTCCCCGGCTGGAAGCGGGCTGCGGGATGGATGAGGAAACCCGTGCTCCTTCTCTAACAGGTCCGAGCCCGCTTGTTAGACCTGGTCAATAGTTTGCTGTCAAAAGCAATTCTCTGTCAAACAGGCGTTGTTTTTTGCCTTTTCTGCCAGAGCAGAATTTTTCTCAGAACATGTCAATTTTCAGCCAAATTTTTTCCTTTCGGTGCTTTCTTTTTTTTTTTTTTTTTTTCCTTCTTGCTTGCTTAAAAAAAATAGCAGCACTGAAAACAACATGGTTGTCAGCTACTGAAGTCTGAATCTGAGGGCTCAAGCCAACAAGGTCTCCAAGTGTATTTTTTTTATTTTATGTCAAAAAAAAAAATAGTGGAATGGAAGAAGTTTTTTAAGAACTGGTTGTCAAGGGGGAATAACTTGTGTTAAAGGATGTCAGAAAAATTTCTGGAGGCTTGGTGTTCATAAATCTCTGCTGGTCTGTAGTTGTCTGGGAGTGGTTCAGAAGGAGCAGAGTGCTTGGGGGCAGGGACGGTGGCGGCTCTGGTGACATCCAGAGGTCCCTGCTGGTGTCTCCCATTCCCTGTGTGGGTTTATACTTGGATTACAAGGTCTGCTGTGTCTTCCTTCCTGGTTCAGCTCAATTGGCAATGTTTGCGTTCAACATGAAACACAATAGCTCCTTAATATGATGGAAAACGGGCTGTCTAGAGAAACGCTGCCTACTTAGGAAAGCATTGGGTAGGGTCCTTCCTCTGTCTCACAGGGTTTAGAGTGGCCAACATGGCTGGTGCAGGTGAGGGGACACAGCTGCTGTCCCACCCTGGAGGAAGCACAAGCACAATCTCTTCATCCTGCCCTGGTCCACTGGGTGCCTGCCTCGTTCTATGTGAACATCCATGGTGTCTCTGGCAGCACCAGAGTTTCAGGTATTGACACCCTTGCTGGGAGTCACACGTGGATGTAGCTAAGACCCATGCAAGGAGGACCACACCAGGACCCAGAGTCCTAGAGGGTGCCTTGTGCTGTGAGGATGCATGGAGGCAGGGGAGAGCTGGTGGGGACCAGCTGGAGAGGCCCTGGAGCCCCAGGTCCCATATGTGTTGGCTTGGCAGGGCTTTTGGGTGTTGCCAGAGTTAATGCAGGGAGCGTGTGTGCCTCTCTTGTGTGTGTTTATGCATGCAAAGAAGTGCCTGCTGGGGAAGGAGTGGAAGGCTTGTGATTTATCATTGTTCTGTAATGGGTGCCTTGCTTCTAGTGAAAGAGGTCAACCTCCCTGAGAGATACCAAACCCCCTCCTTATTAACGTCCTGTTACAGCTAATGGCTTGGGGTAGGGCAAGCAGGTCTTACAAGGAAGGCATTAAAGAGCAGCACTACTTGGACGGGAAGCCAAAGAATTTACAGCAATATTTACACAGAGGCTCTCCCCAGAGATAAGGAGGTACACAGTCGGCTCAGCAGATAAGCAGAGCTGTGGGACGAGGCGGAGTGGGCACTGTTGGTTGTGCATCCTGAAGGCCAACAGGATCAAAAGCCAGCGCTGCGTGGTTTTGGGGAGGGGGACATCATCGGGACCACACGTACCAGCTGGGACCCAGCATCTGGGAGGGAGAGACGTTGTGTTAGTTCAGTGTCTTGCAGTGAGCAATGGGGCCAGCAGCACTCCCTCATACTCCTAGACCTGAGCCTCAAACCTGGGTTGGAAGGTATGGATTAACACAAGTTAATGAATGCTAATTGCTTGTCCTAGTGAAGATGTGGAGATCTGTCCCAGGTAGATGTCCCTGGCAACCACCATCTCTCCTGTCCACCATATACTTTGTGATCTGCAGGTTGGCAGTTGTTTCTCCAGCAGGTCCTGCTAGTGCATTCTGCTCCATCTTTAAGAGCCCTGCCTTGACCCCACCTGGATGTGTCCCCGGGGAGCCCCAGGGACCCATCTTGCAGGCAAAAGGAAAAAGGCAAACCTCCTCATTTTGTTTGAGGTGAAATATAATCCCTTAACAAACGTGTCCCAGAATATAGGTTATAAGGTCCCATCTCCCTAATGCTTTTGCTCCAGGCGCTTTTTCACACACCTTCCCCGTTTCCTCTGACAGACAGCGGTGCATCTGCACTCGATTGTCCCTCTCCTGTACAGGCTGAAGATCTCCCCAGACCATTCTCTGCCTCCTCCATCCGCTTCCTGCCAAATAAACCAAAATCTCACACCTACCTGCCTCATCCAGCAAAATCTCCCAATCCAAAACTTGCTGAAGGCAAAAGGAGTTGCCTTTGTTTTTTCTCATTGCCAGCACCGGGCTTTGGGTCTGGCTGTGTCTGTGGCAGTGAAACCAAATAACCCCCTGTGCAGTAATCCATAAAGAGACAGCCCCATCTCCTCCATACCCCCTTCCTGCCTCAACCAGAAACCTCCCTGTGCCTGCCATCTCGGTCCTGGCTTCTTTTTATGTGCTCAAATCACCCACGGCCACCACCTCATCCTGTGCTAGACCACATCTCCACTTCACCGACCTCCCCAGCCCCTAATAGCACTCGGCCACCGATCTCCGAGCACTCCATCCATCATTTGACTAGCACATTATTTATTTACCATGGGGGAGAGAAGGGAGTTGGGTTGTCTGGAGAATGTATTAAATTTTCATTTGTTCTCATTGATTCCTGAAAGGAAATTGCTGAGTTATGCCATCAGGGTGGACTAGTTATGATATGGAGAGTATCTCCTAGAGGGGGGCACTGGATGGGAAATAGGGACAGAGTTAAGGTTATTTTGAATTTTAAGTTAAAACTACAGTGACCATTTAGCTAAGCAACCTCATGAAATGTATCTGAGCGTGTTTTCTCTTCTTCCTTTAGTCTCTGCTGTAGTTGCTTGCCCAGTCTCTTGCTGGTTTATCTCGCCATATGGGACATGCATGGTATTGCTTCCTCCTGGCTGTTGGGTGAGTAGCTCTCGCTCACGGGTTTCTCCACAGCCTCCGTGTGCGTAGGAGCGGCTGCTGGCTGGGGCTTGTCCCCCGTCTGCAGGAGCTGCTCAGCCTCTTCCAGTTCATCCCATTCAGTTTGGAGGCAGTTGCTTTAAGTATTTCTTCTCCAGACGCGTCTGGGTTCTCTCCCCCTGAATTTCAGTTGTGATAGTTAGCACATTATTTATGGCATTTTTTCCTATTTTTTTTTTAGTATGTACTAATATTATAAGTTGCAGAAAAATACTGACTTTTGGGTAGAACTCCTTGTCATCTAAAAGCTGCTCATTTTCCTCCCCTTCCAGAACTGGCATTCCATCCAACAAAGATGATTATGATTCAGGTTATCCATGCTTTGAAGCCACCAAAGGTTGACTTGGGAGTCTCAGCTGAGGACTGGCTTATGTAGCTTGGTTAGGAAACTGGTCTAAGAGGAAGTAAAGCTAGAAATGTTGTTTAATACCAATCATCAGACACAAGGGTTGACCTAACCTGCTTTCAGAGCATGTCTTGATGGAAATGGTGCAACCTTCTCATGTGAACAAGATGGTGAAGCAATTGTCCTTGAGGAAAGGTCTTGTGGCTGGGATTATTGAGGAGACACACAACTTTCTAGGTTAAAAGGGAAACCTGTGACTCGTGATAGCTGAGGACTGTAGGCTGGGGAAAGTCCCCACATCTCTGAAGAGGTCACCTCCAACTCTGGCCCTCCTGACCCTGCTCTCTGCCTCCTGACACAGCGGGCCCTGAATTCAGGGAAACACAGCGTAGAAGTGGGGTGTTTTTTTTACTGGGGTTTTATTTTTGCAGTCTGGAGGATAATCAGGGGTCCTCGGGTTTCTATGGGAGTTGAAAGAAAGGACAGAGCAAACTGGCACTGTTCCCAGGCCAAAATGTTTTCACTAATTGCATGCAACCTTCCTTACAAGACAGAGAGACTGCAAATACCACCGGCAGTTTAATTACCACTGCTGGTTCGCATTGATCTTATTTATGCTGCTCCCGGTGCTGCCTGTGTGCAGTGTGTGTGTGTGTGTGTGTGTGTGCAAGGTAGGAGCGGGTTGTGTGAGGAATCATGAGTCGCTGGAGGGGGGAGGAACTAAGGAGTGTGTCTGTGTTTATTTGGGGGTCTTTCCAAAGAGCCCCAACATACCAGACAGCCGTGTCCCCCCCCCCCCCAAACCCC